GCGACATAAAACCTTTAAAGTCGAAACCCCTGGCCCGTGGATTCCGGTGCCGTTCATTTTTACAAAATATTATCCAAAAAATTAATTGACTTTCTGGCAAACCCGAGCCGGCTTTTCTAGTAGTAGTGTCTCCTAGTGCTGGCACAGCTTAAGCATGTCCTGTAGATTGTAGTGTAGCCTGGAGAGTCCTGTCGGAGGCCTTGTGGAGGTTTGTCATTTCTTGACGTATCAGGAACTGTTGCGAATAAATCGCTTCAACATTATGAACTTTTCCACAAAAATGTGTGTGATGTATGTATATAAACACGTTACATTGTTAGACGAATATAAGAAACTATTACATTTGTAATTTAGTATGATGAAAGCTAGTGCGTCTGCTCGCTTCGGGAGTCTTGTAGAGAGTGACGAAGAGGAAAAGGAATTTAAGAACGATTCAAAATTTTAAAGTAGGTGGCCAGGAACCAGAGAAAAGGTGGGATGGCGATGAAAGAGGTCGCATTGTCACAGTAGGGCTCCTTGTGAATGTGTGAGTTCGTCTAGGGAATTACTGCCACCTTATCTATTTCTGCCGCCAAACAGTAATATGAGCATTACTCCATTCTGGTTATGAAGCGTAAGGGTGCTGGTGAAATTACAGGCACATGGGACTTGTCAACTTATGTCTCTGGGTGACGGGCGCAGTGGCAGTGTTCCTAAGATATTTGCGATTTAAAGCTCTGAGTGGCACTGCAACTGTTATGGTTAGGCGGTCGTTTATCATCAGGCGCACGACTTGTCCGTCCCGTCACTTCGTGTTGTCAAAAATTTGCCCCAATTTGATTCATTTTTAATCCTAGTTTTAGTCTTTAGTATTTAAGCTTTTATTGTGTATACTTTACTTGTTTAAATAAATAAATAATAGATAGATAAGCTTGGATTAACGTTTTCAAATAAATAAAGAAAGAAAGAAAGAAAGAAACAATTATTCAGTACCCTTAAATTGTATGTACATAAAAATAAATAAAAACTAAAATTACTGATACTGAATGGGCACCGCTCAGCATGTGCCGTGGCTGAGAACAGCCACGTCGCTGGTATTATGCGGAGCCCAGGGAGTGCGTCACAGGCGCACTAAACTAATACTACAAAAACATTGACTTACTTAAATTCGCAATATGCGTACAATGAATTTATGATGCGACAAAATGTGTGATGCTTAACTATATCTATACATATTGTTAATTCATTTATAATTAATTGATAATATTATGTTATGTATGCAAACACCATTCAACTATCAAACAAACTTAATTATATATAAAAAAAATCGCTTTATTATGGGTCGAGTTGTTTGGGAACTACAATGCCACAGACAGCTGTCTGTCTGTACAGATACACAGACAATGGTTTCAAACTTAGAATTCACTTCTTTTTGCGTCGTGAGTTAAGAAGTATGGAACATTTTCCATATTTCTCAACACACGACGCATTCGTTCAAATCGATCTCTTTTACACGTCGATAAAAAACGTCGGTCTCAACGTACAACGTGGAAATGCTACCAGCGTCTTGGGCACCTTGTGGCGAGACCCAATTTAATCCATCTAATTTAATCTTAGTTTTAGTTTTTAGTATTTCATCTTTTATTGTATTTTTGGATATAAATTAGCAAGTGTATATTCTTTTGCGGAAACTTTCTGCACTTGGGTTTATTCGGAAACTACTCAGGTTCTTTGCTGACTATTTTCGGGATCGTAAGCAATATATACAGCTGGCGTCATATGAATCAGAGGAATACTATACTCGGTCTGGTGTCAGTCAGGGGAGTACCCTTGGACCCCTTCTATTTCTCCTCATGATTAATGACCTTCCACGGGTATTATCCGCATCGAATTGCCTCATGTTTGCGGATGACTTAAAATTGTTTTATTCTGTCTCGAAAGTTACTGATTGTGAAGATTTGCAGAGAGATATTGCGGCTGTGGCAAGGTGGAGTGTTATCAACAAGCTCCCATTTAATGCTTCCAAGTGCCAAGTTATAACATTCACGAGGTCTTTTAAACCAATCGTATTTAAATACGACCTCAACGGCTTGGTTCTTGCGCGAGTTGACAGCATCAGGGATCTTGGAGTGACTCTGGATTCAAGACTCAACTTCCATGATCATATAGTGGCCTCTTGTAAATGTGCAAGCAGAACAATGGGCTTTATCATGCGTGTTGCTTCGCAATTTCAGAATTCCAGGATCGCGGTAATGTTGTACAATGCCTATGTTCGTTCTAAATTGGAATACAATTCTGTGGTCTGGGATCCCTGGGAAGAAAAATATGAACTTATGCTAGAGAGGATACAGAGACAGTTCTGTAGGTATCTGTATAAAAGGGAATACGGGTACTATCCACTGCTTTACCCGTCCAAATATGTTTTGGGCATGGTAGGGTTTGAGACCTTACAGTTTAGGCGGAAACGAAATCTTCTAATACATTACAGCAGAGTTCTTAGAAGTAATATAGATAGCCCAGTAGTACTGCAGTCGATTCGTTTATTTGTGCCTCAAAATTATACTCGATTGGGTGCTCGGCGCCGTCTTGAGTTGTTTGCGTTCCCGGTCGGTGTACGCACAGACCACGCCCGCAACTCCCCCACGCCTCGAGCTCTTGCCTTGCTCAACACTCTCCTGGATGAGGTCCGGGATGCTGATGTGCTCACCGACAAATTAACAACTTTAATAACTTATTTTGACATTTTTTTAAATAACTATTTGACATGATCATAGTATATTCTTGGCATGATTGTTATTATTATTTGTTGTATTATTTTCTGTTTTATTTTTGTTGACATTATAATTTTATGTATTGACTGCTTTTATGACTAACATTGTGAGTGCTTTGGGTTACTCTGTAAACTCACAATGTGTACTTTAAATAAATAAATAAATAAATAAATAAGTGTATATAATAAATATATTTATTTGCCTGTTTTACCATTCTAGAACCCTAATTATCATTTCTAAATTACACTTTTGTATCTTACTAAGTACTGTATAAGTTATCCTTCGGACTTTGTGAAATAGCTGGACGTGGAGATTGGTCTGGGTACATTAATGTTTATTCTGCACTTCATTATGTTATGCTCAACATTAATACACTTTCTGTCGAGTTATAATATTATATTCATACTCAAGATTGCTATCGAGATATCTTGGGGCCGAAGGATGTGAAAATTTGTTCGGTTTACGTAAGCTTTTTTTTTAATGTGGCGTTAAAAAGTCGCTAGGAAATACAAAATTGGAGTAAAATGGATTTAATTGTGTTCTAGTTTTGATGGAGTGACTTTTCTTACAAACGAATGTCAGTGATCATAACAATAATTGCATTTAACAGTACATGGTCGCGAATTCAAATCTCAGTTAATTAGTTTTTTTTAAGTGTACTTTGTTTTTTTATGTACTTTGTTTAAGCAGCTATATGGTTTAACTATTAGTTTTTAGTTAAAAATGCGTTTATTTCTTATTTTTATTTCATATATTTTAGGCCTTTTATTACAATTTAAGTGTATTATTGTTCGCTACTCCTTTTCTACAGCATAGTTCAAATTCTTTCTGTATTAATACATTGTAATGACTATTTGTGCCAACATAAATATGATATTTACAGCTCTGACTGGCACTGCAACTGCCAAGGATAGGCGTGTCGTTTACCACCACCAGCAGCTTGATTTTGATTGCCTCTCCCGATCGGAAACTGCGTCTTTTCCGAGTCGAGGCGCATAATTGAGATTCACAACTGGCCGATCGGAAACTTTTGACATTTCAAATCGCAACAATAGTTGATTTAACGTACAAATTAGAAAGATGTAGTAAGAATCAGGTTCGTCTTCTCGCTCGAAAACCCATCCTGATTTCGAGACTACCCGATCAATTCCGATTTGAATCAAAATCAGCATGCGCAGGCACACGACTTGTTCGTCCCGTCACTTAGTATTATAAAAAAAAAATATTACTTACAAATATATAAAAAAAAAAATGCCACGTAAATTTCGCACCGTTGCTGGTGTAATAAGGCGACAACTACAAAATTATAACTTTTGAGGAAAATGTCTTTATATGTTAAAGATTCTACGACCGATATTAGTCGATAACATTTTTATGCTTAAATATGACAGACAAAAATCTCATAATATTTTTATGATTTTCTTGTGCTTTTCCTTGTTCTTGTGTAATTACAATAACGCGCACACACCCATAGCCTCGCACTAGAGAAACCCTGTGTCGCGGGTGCCATGGACGCGAACATAGACAACGACAAATTACACTCAAACTCACGAGAGAAATAAATGTAGGCCATACAAATATTTCTCCCGGACCGGGAATCGAACGCGGGACCTCTGCGTAGCAGTCCGGTATGATAACCGTTCGGACACGGAGGCAGTTAACGTATGATAACATATGGTTTTGTTATACCTAGAGTACGAATTTATCATTTGTCACTTTAAACCATAAAACACACAGATAACGGGTGCGCGTCGGGCACGTGTCGGATCGAGATCACGGCGGGTGTAATTCCGTGTATTACAAGCCGCGGAATCTAACATGCGCCCTGGCCATGCGCGCGCGTAGTTTTTTGTCGTCCACTTGTCGTCCATATCAATACACGAAATTACACCCGCCGTCCTCCTGACTCGACATACACTCGACCCGCACAAACTGTCAGTGTGTTCTTGGGGATTAATAAATATTAAAACACGTTCAAATCGATTTTATGGTTTTATTCGGTAAATTCGCTTCTCTCGATATCAGTAAATAAAGGGTTCATTTTAGTAAGAGCTGGCAAATTAATCGATATCCCAACGTTACGTCACAAACTTAGTCGACACGTATTATAATGTCATGTATGAAGTTGTAAGAAGCTGTCAAATTTAACAGCTCTAAAATTATGATTTAATTTCCCTTCCTTTTGGTGCTGACAGATGCAATAAACTTAACAGAAGGATAAAATTGACGATTAAAGTTAAAAAAACCTACCTCCTGTGCTTTCTTTGCCAATCTCGTGATCATGTTCTCCGGATACACTTGATGCACAGAGAAAGACGGCTGCTCGACCCCCGCTTGCCGTCTGATGTCCTCCCATCGTTCTTCGCCATATGTCTGTCTGATGTACTCGGCCATGTTCTCCAAAAGTAACCCGTACATTTTGATATCTGGAAAGAACAAAATGTTACCATATAAAATTTCATAGGTTGTGAAAATTGTGGATGGTTAAAACCAGTAAGTGTAAAACGTTAGTTTAAGTTTAAAGACAGGAACAAAGTTTAAATAAGATTGACTTATTTATAATACTAAGTGACAGAACGAACAAGTCGTGCGCCTGGTGGTAAGCGACACGCCTATCCAACAGTTGCAATGCCACTCAGAGCTTGAAATTGCAAAGCTCTTAGGGGTACTGCAACTGCGCTCGTCACCTTGAGACATAAGTTGACAAGTCCCATGTGCCTGTAATTTCACCAGCACCCTTACCATTTCAAACCAGAACGTAGATTACTGCTTGGTAGCAGAAATAAGTAAGGTGGCAGTACTTCCCTGGACAAACTCTTTCACAAAGAGATCTACTGCTACTTACTGACTTCAGTTATGTCCCTTATTTTTCATGTTTGTAACAATGGTTATGACTGTATATTTCGTATTTTGAATAACAAATAACGAAATCACCATACTTATGGTGTTGTGTGTTTCTCGTAAAAAACGCTTTGCCACAGGTCGGCAACGAATCTGCTTTCTGAGAATTTCCGAATGTGTTGATCAGCGGCGTCGACATCCAAATGGCCATATCGACATCTGAAGGGTTGCGTCGTGACGCCAGAATGGCCGCAGCAACGGCCAAAAGTCTCCAAAGGATCCGATCCGGGGAATGCTCGAACGGCCGTGTAGACGGCGAATCGGCTTAATGCGACAAGTGTGGTAAAACATAATCGCCTATTCTGCGTCTATAAGTGTAGTGACTCTCTTAATGCACTAGTGTTCAGGGAACAAATTGGATGCTATTGATTTCCAACTGCCTGAATGTGCTTCCAAACTTAGGATCAGCGAAGTTACTTCATTTTAGCTGTGATCGTCGCAATGGTGCGAGTCCCTTGTTTAGTGGTGAACACATACTAATCCCATATAAGGAGATTTAAAAAAAAATTTAGTTCTCAAATGTCCTGAGTTTTTAGAGTTACTTTGGTACTGCGGTTTTTTTAACGTAAGGATAGACTTGCGTTTGTCCAGAATCTCAAGTGAGGATGGCACGCGCTCGTCTAGGAGATACATTCTCACTCTGACGTTGGAGAGATGGTTGTATGTTGAATGACACTGTGTTATGGTACCCTACGGCGTCATATACCTACCTATGACATAAATTTCCGAAGTACACTTATGAATGTTTGTTTGCAACATCTCGCACTTACGGTGATGAAGCTTGCATGTTGAATTACGTGTACAGCGATTGGAAAGTGTAAGAAGTCGTCAGTTTATATTGAGACTGCGTGGCGGACCATGGTATAAATCCGCTTTTTAGAGGAAAACGGTACCCAATGACACGTATTTGCACGTATGGACGGCGACGTGTGACGCAACGTGGGTGTTCGATAACCGGCTTCGGAAACGTCGAAAATACAAAAGACACCCTTCGGCCGAAACTCCTTCTTCATGAACGTCGACAGAGGTTGAGCTGGTACTCTAACCACAAATGAATTAAAATTCACATTGTGGCGGGACCCCACTCGAGCCTCAAGATAGCATTAGCTTTCCCACGTATATACTCGACAATATCAGCAGACTTTGTAGAGTAGGTAATGAAACCGTGACTCATGTAATAACGTCGTCGGTACCTGTACCTGTGTAATGGGTTGTAGATGCTGGATATTAAACACTATTTCATACAAATCGAGTTCATAGGTTTTATTACATATCGGAAATGACACTATTTTTTTCGGATCTGTATCATGTATAATTGTTGTTCAAACAATCAGTCAGTCGACCGTCAGCCGTGATCATGGAACCTGTGTTTGGATAACATATATAATAATAATAATAAAGCACATACTCACAGTCTCGCACTACGGAAACCCTGTACCGCGGGTGCCATGGACACACACATAGACAACCACAAATTACACCCATACCATAGAAATATTTCTCCCGGTCCGGGAATCGAACCCGGGACTTCTGCGTGGCAGATCAGTATGGTAACTGTTCGGCCATGGAGGCAGTTACTTAGCGAAAAAAATGGTTTCAATTGAAATGTGTAACATTCGCGAAAACCGCAGATCTCAGATATGGATATTGTTACTAGAATCAGTGAACGCACCTGTCGTCTGCGACCGCACTTAGCCAATGGCGAAATAGAAAGACGTTCCTTGCAAAACGCGCTCATACTTACAACGATCAGGCAGGGCCAAGGACTTAGTTAATTAGTACAATAACACTGTCTATTTTAGGTAGACCTATTTCTAAACGCAATGTGTTGAACATGGTTATGTGTTATTGATACGGTACAGTGTCGCGTACCTTCGTTCGGTCATATCGTCGTTTGTCATTAGATGTAGTGTTACCATCAGTCGGTACAGATTATTCCGGACAGTCTGGCTTTGACTTTCTGTCCGGATTTTTCGGCGTAGGGAAACGATTTTCAGAATAAAAGATGAAATATCCACCTCGCAATTATTTTTTGTTATAATATCAAGTGACAGGACGAACACGTCGTGCGCCTGGTGTTAAGCGACACGTTTGTCCATAGTAGTGTCACTCAGAGCTTTAAATAGCAAAGATCTGAGGGGCACTGCCACTGCGCCCGTCTCCCTGAGACACAAGTTGTCAAGTCCCATGTGCCTGTAATTTCACCAGCACCATTACCCTTCAGATCCGAAACACAGTAATGCTCACATTACTGCTTGCCGGAGAAATAGGTAAGGTGGCAGTATTTTCCTGGACGAACTCTTTCACAAGGAGCTTGTTATTTATATTATCATTAGCAACCATTGACTTACAATTATAGCAACTAACCAAAAAATAAACAAAAGCTTCGCTTCCTTGCCCGCTTTCTTATCAACACATGTACTTCTTTAGATGAGTTGGAATGAGGAATAGTAATAGTTTTATAAGCTATTTCTGGTCTGGGTGTTCTGGTTAGTGCCCCGGATGAATTCTGTTGCTCTGGTACTCATAGCACAGGAAAATCCCTAGTTTGAGACCAGGTCATTAGTGTGGTTATCTGGCACATTATTTTTATTATTACTTGTCATATGGAATAGAATTAACTTTGAATACAATTCGATTTACGACAATTTTTTTTGCACGGGTAGCTTGCCCATCTCTGTCTTCACGTGACAAAGATTTTCGATTTTATTTTGTTACTAAAAAGTCCGGACTTTCTTGCTAAGGTCAGACTTTTTGTCCAGATTTTTCGAATTTCGGAATGGTAACCCTAATCAAGAGATTGTGGCCAAGCGTGTGTTTATTTTATACATAAACAAAAGTTCTTCAAATTCTATTTACAGAGTACTCTGCTTCCATGGCAACAAAAGCAGATTTTATAGAAAACTGGCACTCCTATACAGAGTTATTTGTAAAGGTTATAGCGTTTTGTTGTTCCAATTAATTTAATAAATATCATGTTAAATAATAAGATATACAGAGTGTTTTTTCAATTGGGATGGTATGGGGAAATCCGAAACCATAGAAGATATAAGGAAACTGTCTTAGGAACCATTAAGAATTAAAAAAAAACAATTTTGGCATAGTCAATTTTTTGGTCGGTTTTTGGTAGCGTGAGTTGTCCGTAAAAATGAATAAGGATGATGAAATTTTTTTTAGTGCTAATTGACTCAGTTTCATGAAGGGATCATTTCATTGTGTGGGACGAAAAAATCTGGACAGCCGAAGGTCAAATTTCATAAAATATTTTTCATACGAAGTGAATAGAATTGAATAATTTTTTTTTATGCTGATAGACTTAGTTTCTTATAAGTATGATTTTATTGTATGGGAGGAAAAAATCAGGACAGAATAACTTGGTCAAATGTAATAAAAAGTTTTTTCACACAAAATGAATTTTTATTAAATTTGACCTTCTCTCTATTACGGAATATAAAAATTCGTGAGGTCCGCTGGTTCGTTCCGTGGCTTACTTGGCATAGCGTCTGGCACGGTTCGCTAGAAGACGTCGGTTTGAATATGGCCGGATCGAAGGAATTTTTTCTAAGTGTTCGCTTTTTGTTAATAATTATAACAAACTAGTGTAGTAATATCACAAAAAATAATTGAACTTTTTAAGCTTGTTTTGAACTTTTTTTTGAATTATCACTAAATATAAATTTAAGAATGCAGATTTCTTTTCTATGTGGCATGTTTACATTTAATTTATGAAAATTGATTAGTATTCTGTAGTTGTCCGTGGTAAGGTGATGTGCTAAAAATGGACTTTACATGTTGCCATAAAAATTTAATTCGTAAAATACTGTCTACCCGGAAAGGCGACGATGACGTCACGACGCATATCGCGTTTCATGTTTGCCGAATACGACACGAGTGGGTTATTAATTGCCTGCGACTCGCCAGCGAGATGTATTGGGGTTATTACGAGGGTCCCATAGACTTTCCTATACGTGTTGAACTATGGTAATGTTTATGCACTCTCCGTCGAGATACTATCGTGTCCTTAAGGAGAAAACTTCGATTTACCTTTACATTAATATATTAACTATATTCCTTATATTGGAAATACGCATTTGTTATATACAAATATTTATCGAAAACGAAAAGTCAGGTGAAGGCAGTGATATGAGTAACATAGAAGAACAGAAATAAAGCAACAACTAAAACAACAAATAAACTTATGAATGGTGAATTTAAACCCTAATATCCAATCAAAACCATACTAATAGCGATCTTAAAAAGAAATTGATGGGTTCAATTATGGTTTACGGCGGCCATATTGGGTAGCCATTTTGGGTGTGCCTAAAATGGCGGCACAATGTTGTATTGTCATCTATTTTTAGACGGCATTGTAGAGACCGCATTGTAATCGTTTGCATTGACCTTAGTGTCTGTTACATAAGATTTATTGATTTTCCTCATTATTTTTAGACTGGATTAAAAGTGATTTCAAGTGCCAATGGTCTGATCCGAGGACTAACAAAGAGAAAAGTTTATAA